CAAACATTTTTAGTCATGTATTTCCGTTTATCCCCATTCATTGACGACTTATAGCCAGTCTGAGATGAGGCCCTTTTTACAGAATAGTCAGTAAATATACCTTCACTGTACACTTTATCAGAAACCCTTACCTTGTAGCACCTTCTTGCTGGACTGTAGTCCATCTGCTGATGAATACTTTGTGTCAGCCCTTCATCAGTGGTCAGTTTCTGATGGCAGAGCTGCTCTCGGCTTGATCATTTAAATTGGTGGCCCACTCCCAACCTAGCAGTGACCCTGAGATGTGTAAAATCTCCAGCCACACCATTGTGTCTAATACACTCATACCAGCACCACACACACTACCACGTCAGGGTCACTGCTGTGCTGAGAATGACCAACAAATGACAAATAATATCTGCTTTCCAATGATGAATGGTGTAGAGGGGGGCAGATAAATTAGATGGACTGCAACTGCAGTTAAATGGGCATTTGTACACTTATATGGTGGGCCCAAAAAGTGGACAAAGTTCATAAAGTGGCCAATGAGTGGACAAAGTTTTAATAAACTGTAGTAAAGGCTACAGAGGAGATCAGATTATACATGCTCGTAGCCGCAAAGCTCATCTTTTCACACAGTGATTTAGACTTTCCTTAAAAAAGAATTCAGCGCAACATAACGTGTGTGTTTTAGGTGGTGGAGAGGGGTCTACAGCATGTGTTAGTTCTGGAGGACGATGTCAGATTCGAGCCCCGGTTCAAGAGAAGAATGCAGACCATCATGGAAGACGTGGAGAAAGCTCAGCTGGACTGGGACCTCATGTAAGATCTACAAGAGTCCTCATACACGCACACAAAGCCTCTTTTCCACTGCAGGGCTGAGTGGTTCTGAGCACAGAGGGTAACCATTCCAGTGACGATTCCACACGGATAGCTATCCGTACTCAGGGTCACAAAACTGTTCAGTGGGATGACGTAACGATGTAGCTATTCGCTGATTAGTTCTACATTTATGTCGGTATTCTGCCGCAACATCCTCCTGCGTTATTTCGAACCCAAAAGCAATCAAATACATTCATTTCGCTCACATGGACACCAAAAAAATCAAAGCAGTGCACGATTTTAAAACCACTATTCAATAAACGTCAAAGCTTCAACCTAACACCAATTCTAATCGTTAAATGGCGCTGCCAACCAGAAGAGAGTAGCTGGTTAGCGTTAGCTTAGCTAGCATGGTGCCAGCTCTGCTCACTACAGAACAGGTTCAGTTCTGACTAACAAAAGCTTTATTGACACAAATTTAGATGATAATGACTCAAAACCGAGGAAGCGTAGTCAAGCAGCTGATGTTAGAGGGACAGAAACGTGGTGTCTGGAGCCTCCTAGCTCAGCTAATGCTAGCCGGATCCTCTCTGATAGCTAACTTAGCTTAGCTAAAGAGATCCAAACACGCCAGTATGGGTTCAATTCTGCTAACTGCTCTGCTCTTACATGTATAGTTGATAAAAACTTACAGCGATGTAACAGCGAGAGTAAAATCGACTGAACGTTGTTGGAGTGACAGAACGCCAAAATCGAATTTGTTCTGTAGCTTGTTTTTTAAGCTATAGCCTGATAGGCTAAACTAATACAAGTGTACAAGTGAGTTGTCAGTTTATCTGAAAAATCTACATACAGCTAATCTTGGTAGGTTTACAGTTGGCTACGGGCTGTAGCCCATCTCTTGCTGCAAATTATTTGCCCTATCATTAGAAACAGACCACCATAGGACCACTGGAGACCAGATATTTGGATGGTGGTCACAGTGGTGTTATGGGAGTGTCAATGTTTGGATGAGAGTGAACCACTACCCAGAAATATCCAGCCAAGAGTGCCTGTATGGTAGACTACCTGGTAAAATGGTCAATCAGTGTAGGTACAGGACCAGTGCTGCAACAATTAGCCAATAAAGTCTGTTAGTTGTCGAAGTTGATTATGGAAAAAGACGACAAATCAATGCTCAATTTTTATGATATACTGTATATTGGCAGTGTTGAGGGCAGTATGGTTTCAATTGTTTCATTTCACCATGAACAAAGATAGACAGAGCTTTGAATTATGGTGCCGCTCAATAATTCATAGTGGTACAATTAGTCTATCAGTTGAATAGTAGTTGATAGAGATTAATTGATTATAGAAGTAATTGTTCATAGCAGCCCGATACAGGACACCACATACATGTAGAACTTAAGCTGCATAATGTCTGTTGTGTTCTGACACATTACATACTTTCTTGTCTCTCCATCTGTGTGTTTTTACTGTCTTTCTCGATGTAGTTATGTGGGCCGTAAGCGGATGCAGGTGGCCCAGCCGGAGGTATCAGTGGAGGGTGTGGACAACCTGGTGGAAGCTGATTACTCCTACTGGACTCTGGGTTACGCTCTGTCCTTGCAGGGGGCGCGCAAGCTGCTGTCCGCACAGCCCTTTGGCAAGATGCTGCCTGTGGACGAGTTTCTGCCCATCATGTTCAACAAACACCCCAAGTAAGGGAAGGAGAGATGGAGGGGATGAGTAGGTGGATAAGAGTGATGAGTGGATGGAGGAATGGATGGATGGATGGATGGATGGATGGATGGAATGGTTGATGAATATATTGAGGGATGGCATCTTTGAATGGATGTACAGTTGGCAGAGTGGTTGAATGAATGCTTGAGAAGATATGTGGATGGATGGGTGGATGGAGGGATGGATGAATGAAATGGTTGACGAATGTAAAAAGGATGGCATCTTTAAATGGATGTACAGTTGGCAGAGTGGTTGAATGAACACTTGAGATGATATTTGGATGGATGGATTGATGGATGGCTGGATGGTTGGATGAATGAAATGGTTGATGAATATGTTGAGGGATGGCATCTTTGAACGGATGTACAGTTGGCAGAGTGGTTGAATGAATGCTTGAGAAGATATGTGGATGGATGGAGGGATGGAGGGATGGATGAATGAAATAGTTGACGAATGTAAAAAGGGATGGCATCTTTAAATGGATGTAGAGTTGGCAGAGTGGTTGAATGAATGCTTGAGAAGATATGTGGATGGATGGATGGATGGGAGAATGAATCGTTGACAGTTGTGTCGAGGGATGGTATCTTTGACTGGGTGTACAGTTGGCAGACTGATTGAATGAAAGCTTGAGTAGATATTTTCAGATGGGTGAGTGGATGGATGGAGGGATGGAGGGATGGATGGATGGTACAGGACTACTAAAATCCACATTTTTGCTGTTGGCTGAATTACAGGGAGGAGGACAATGAAACATCTCGAAAGTGCGTCTCACGAGTCCAATTTTTTTTCTTGGACAGTGATATTGTTCAGAAGTGTGGGCCAGTTGCGAAACACTGACATGAACATCTGGGGAATTTGGGGAAATTACACAGATCCTTTATCCTGTACAAGTCAGCCAGTGAAATCATTCACATATTACATTACCTGACCTTGTCTGGTAAAATGGATCCATCTCGCTGGTGTACAGTTAGAGACTGTAGCTCATCTGTTGATGTATAGTTAGAGTTCTCCATCCTCTAGCCATTCATCGGTGGTCAGTTTCTGACCACAGAGCAGCTCTTATCTGTATATTTTTTGGTCAAAGCCCACTCTCAATGTCACTGCTGTGCTGAGAATGAACCCCCGCCCTATTAATATCTGCATGACCGCAGTTTTGTGGTCAGGAATTGATCAATGATGAGTGGGGTAGAGAGGAGCTGACAACTTGTGCAGTAACAGATGAGCTACAGTCTGTAATTGTACACCTGTATAGTGGAGCTATACATGTGAGGTTCATAAAGTGGACAGTGAGTGGACATGCAAGGTAGGTGTTTCTAATAAAGTGTATATACTGTATATATAATTATGCTTTCATACAGTGAATGCTATACAGGCACTCTAGGTCTGATCATACATGCTCATACTCACAAAGCTCACCTTCAGTGCACACACAGAGTAACACACCTCTCTTTGTCCTGCACTGCTGAGAGAGGGTCAGGCACACAGTGCTGGATTGTTTAGGGGGATATATAAGTACGGTGCCCCTGCTGGGCCACACATCTGCCCAGCCCCCTTTGCTGCATGTCCTGTTTTACTCTCAGAGGAATGTAGCGCTAAAGCTCCAAAATGAGAGGCCTGAGTGACAGCAAAGCAGGAGAGAAGTTGACCCGACACAACAGAATAAAAATAGACAGAGAAAACTAGATTCCTTCCTTCCTTCACATGTTTGTAGAGGTAAAAGTATTATAATTTTACACAGAACCGAGGAAACCAGGTTCTACCTACCTTTGCTTACTTTCTTCCCATCTCTCTCTCTTCCTCTCTCTCTCTTTCCACCTTCACTGCCCTGCCCACCTACAACACCCCTCTCCCCTGTTGTCCTTCTTTTCTCAGACCCAGTGCAGGAGCCAGTTCGGTTTAGTTTAATGAGCTTTACTGACAAGACTGCTTTACATGCAGTTTTGCCAAAGCAGTTGCAAAACAACAGACAATGCAACAGAAGCACTTTTCTCTCTTACTCCATAGAAATTCTTCTTTACAGACTCTTCTCATTTAAGCATATCCGATTTTGACACTTTGTTCACACAGCAGGTAAAAGTGGCCCAGATCTGACCTTTTTCTTCATATGTGACACAGATGTGTGTCTGTGCGTCAGTGTGAACAGATAAACACACTGAATCTGACAATTTCAATTCCGATTTGAGACGATTTCATATGTGGTACTGAAATCCGATACATACCCGATATGCGGCAGTCCGACTCAGTCACTGCCAGATCGGAATTCATGCAGCTTTTATGTCAATCCAACTCCACATTCGTCATAATTTCACTCTTCTGAGACCTCATGAATATTTGGGCTGATGTTTCTGTACAAAAAAATGAGAAGAGACGTATCCAAACCGCTCCGTGTTCAAAGAGATTTAGAAAGAAATGTCCGAACGCGGCCGTAGAAGAACGAGGCTGCAGCGTCAAAGAACAGTTAAAAGTCTGAAAGCAAAGTTTAAAGAATCTGAGGACATGAAGATGAACTGAACCCTCCAGGAGTGACTGGCGTTTATTGGCTCTGGATGAGCCGTGAAGCAACGTGACGCTCTGTTCTTTTGCACATGTGGGTCAGTTTAGGAGCTGATCTGTTCAGACTGATGTCACATACAGATCACATTTAGAAGATACTGTGAACAGCCAAACAAAACAATCAGATTTGGTGAGGAAATCAGATTTGGGCCACTTTTACCTGCTTTGTAAATATAGCCTTAAATAAGGACACTCAAATATTATGTAAACAAACACTAAATTTTTCAAAAAAAATTGAAATACAAAGATGGCATTCTGTGCTCATGAACATAACCTTCAACTACAAATGAATACAGTACAGAACAGCAAAATCTGAACATGTACATTATACACCGTCAAATGTTTGGGGATACCTGGTTTTTCAAAATGTCTCCACCAATTTTGCTAAATTACGCAATCATTCAATGGTTTAGATGTAAACAAAATCATTCAGAGTGGTTCGGTGTGAAATGCGCCTTTTCTAGAGAAATTTACTGAGTCAGAATCGTCCACCATTAGAGTACTAGGAACCAGACGTCTGAAGCATTTAATGGCTCTAAAAGCTACATCCCGTTAAGTTATTACACAAAATGGTTATGAATGCTGTGCTTGATACCTGAGACATTGTTGTGTGATAGTTTTGTTATAAAGTTTTGGACTAAAATGTATCTTTAGTGTAAACCATTACTCCAGGATTACTTCTGTGTTTCCTCTCAAAACTGAATTCTCAATTGAGATCAGTGCACATCAGCTAACATGCTTTTGTTGTTACTAGCCTGTAGCTACAGCTGTTCAACACGGCTAACGCCAGCAGCAGCTTCTGTTTACAGTTTATTTTTACAGTTTTCTTATATGTTTTGGAAGATGGCGGAGTGTGAGGATGACTTTGAGGAGGTCTGTTTCTAAAATGTCAAAACTGGTTGTGTCAACAACAAATTACTTGCTACTCTGCTTACCAGTTTATAAGCTAACGGCTAACAGTGATATATGCACGGTGGCCAACGACGTCTGATTTATTTCACAAATGTTTCTTACCCTGATTCCAGTTTCTGTGGTGGAAAATGCAACAGAGGGAACAGCAGATTTCTTTAGCAGCCGCATTTGAAGAAATCCGCTTTGCATTTTTAACTGGTCTTGAGTAACGTTAGTCTTCATCTGTGAAGTTGTTAGACACTGGTATTTGTGTGTAGCTTCAAAACAATTAGCCACAACTTCAGGATTTCTGGTACAGTAACAGAAACTGAAAAAAAAAACACACTGTACTGTATTTTCTCCATTTTTTATTTGCATCCTGGTGCAGCGCAGTTCACCACCACTCTGAACAATTAACCAGTGAGGTGCAACTGTGATCTATCAGGGCTCCTCTGATGAATAACGTTACCTGAATAAGCTCTGAGTTTTGCTAGCACAGTGCGCCATAACGGCACCAACCCAAACAACACAAAACGCGTGCAGGGCAGAGAGGTGCAAACAGGGCATGGTAAGGAAAAAATAGTACCCAAAGAAAATGTATTTTTTTTTCATTTAGCAGTATTTTAACATTATCAGCGTGACATATAAAACCTAATAAGACGCATGTAAGTTCACTGGTCATTGTGGAGAGCAGATAAAATGGTGATATTTGTAGTGTAGACATAACAACGTCTGGTTCCTAGTACTACAATGGTGAACAGTTCTGACTCTGTAAATTTCTCTAGAAAGGCACATTTCACACCAAATCACGCTGATTTTCTTTACATCTGAACTATTGAATGATTAAGTTATTTTGCAAAATCGGTGGAGTTCCCCATTAATATAAATGAGCATATTTTTGTATGCAAAAAGCCGCACATTTTATCCCCTCGTTGTGGTGCTTTCAAGTCATTATTTAGACAAATCTGCTCCTCATAGCAAGGAAGACACTTTGCTGAACGTTGAAGCTAAATTTTATGCTAACCACATTTACAGGGAGTTTTTCTTATAAAATTGAAAACAGTGAAAATCAAATATTCCTTCAAGACAGCAAGCTGTGCCTGAAGCTTTAATGAGAAGTGTGTATAGCATCATATCACAGCCCAGTGAGAGATATTTTTGCATTTGAGTTTTTGGGCCAAACTGTGGAGGGAACTGCTTTATGCCCTGCACTAATGCACTAATACCTGCATGCTCATAGATTCTCATAGCAGTGGACACTGAAAGGCAGCTTCTCTCTCTCTCTCTCTCTCTCTGTGTGAGGAATGTGAAGGGGCATGGCACTTCCTATTTCCTGCTGTAGTAGCACAACAATCTCATTGATAGGGCTTGGGGCTCGCTGGGCCAGGGGCAAAGGAGAGATGGATTACTACACAAATATACTGCAGCTCTGTGAGGACAGAGAGAGAGAGAGAGAGAGAGAGAGAGAGAGAGAGAGAGAAATAGAAGAAGAAGGCAGGGTGTTTTTTATGCCTCTCAAGAGTTTGTGATGGAGTAATTTCCCCTGAACCCTTTCAGAATGCTGATTCAACACTTGTACACCTTTTAACTTGTTAATGAAGGCAGGATGAAGGTCAAATTCAAAGTCATGTTAATCGCTCACTGAATTTGCCATTCAGTTGCCTTTCCTTTCTGGGTGCCCGTCCAAAGTGGAATCTTAAAGACACAGAAAACAAAACAAAACAAAACAAAAAACAGTTCTATAGATGATCGACCACACAATGTTGTCATTGTGTAGTCAAAGTCATTCCCATATTAAGAAATTTGGGTCTGCAGTTTTTCTCTATGAGAAAAAGTAATGCCATTTTGGAAAATCTCTGTTATTACGCCCTCTAGTAATTTTCCAAACCTGATACATTTTCCTGTACTTTCATTTTCCCTGCAAATGTCCCTGAATCCTCTAAATTAGAGGGTTAAACAGGAATTCCACTGATTTTTAATGATTTCTGCATCGCTGTGATGTAAACAAAGTCGTTCAGAGTTGTTCGGTGTGAAATGGTTCACTGTAGAGAAACTTTCTGACTCAGATGTCTTTACAGTGGTGGTGATAGGAACCAGGGGTCGCCATGACTACAACACACATATAGACATTTTATTTACCAACCAGAATGACCAGTGAAGATATATGTGTCTTCTTAGTTTTAAATATGTAATGTTGGCAATGGTGAATTAGTGATAAATCTTTGAGCATGAATGAATTTAAAAAATACATTAGGCCAAAAGTTTATCATAAAAAATGCCTCTAATGACTATTTCTGCGTTTAAGCTAACACTGCCGTGAATTAAACTGACATTGTAAGACTGGCACCCTCAACAAAATACCCCACACAATGCAGCAGGCTTTGTTAGATGTTGTAGTTAGGTTGTTTCAGGACAGAGGTTTGCAACCTACACATGGCCCTTTTACTGCCCTGTTGTGGCTCCACAGAAGAATCAGATTTGTAGGTAAAAATAAAATAATCCTCCTTTACAGTAAAATAAAGCTCTGCTGATCGTTCAACACAGTTTAACAATAAATGGTCTTAAACTCTGGAGTTAATGTAGAACTGCTAATTCACCCTTTAACTCTGAAGATCAGTGCAGACTGCTGGTCACCATAGCAACACAGACAACAATCTCGCCTAGCTAGTAGCTAAAGAAACGGCAAAGAGAGAGATTTAAGATGAACATCGATAATTTGGGGACAAATGGACTTATTTGTGTTTATAATCACTCCAGCTGGTTTCCTGATATGTTTAATCTGCAACGAGAAACTGTCAAAGACTAAAAAGTCACGAGGCTGAAGTCAGTTTTTCATTTTCCCTGTTCCACTTTAAATGGTGCAGCAGTTACATTCTGGCACCATTTAAGATGGAACAGGAAAATTCGAAAAAGAAGCTGGTGTATGAGAAGCGACTTCAGCCTCGTAAAAAGTCGAACATTAAGAGACGTTTTACAAGAAACTGTTCTACTTTTGAGGAAAACGTTCCTGTCAGAGATGTGAGAAATGCGGCTATAGCTGAGCTACAGCTTAAAGCAGAAGCAAAGTAAGTCTGCATTTTCGTTTATATTAGATATCTTTTAGCCTATACTAGTACTTTAGCACATACTGAGACATATTTACAGCCAAGATGGTAAAACGTTATTTCAATTAAAAGGACATAAAATGTTGTGGCTCCCAAGGTGGTTTGATTTTTGTTGAGAGAACAAAATGGCTCTCCTTAACAGTTGGGTTGCCGACCCCTGTTCTAGAAGAAGAGGGGATGGAAAGTGGTCATTTAATGACTTTTTGAGTTCACAGAATCACAATCTCTCTCTCTCTCTCTCTCTCTCTCTCTCTCTCTCTCTCTCAGCACTGCGTACATGTCACACTTTGAGCCGAGGGATCTGCGGGCGTTCTCTGTGGAGCCGCTGCTGGTGTACCCGACACACTACACGGGTGAGCCGGGCTACTTCAGCGACACTGAAACCTCCACCATCTGGGACGACGAATCCATCAGTACAGACTGGGACCGGAAACACGCCCCGAAAACTGCCCAGCAGGGCCAGATACGCCCCATCGCCCAGAACAGTGTAACAGGGGACACACCGCCCCCTGCAGTCCGGGCATCAAGAGACGAACTGTGACAAGAGTGGAGGGAAAGACTTAACACACACACACACACACACACATACACACACACACACACACACTCACATACACTATGGTTTAAAAGTTTGGGATCACTGTTTTCAATCATTTAAAACCAATTTGGTTGCAGATAAATGCATAGGACTATTCTAATATGGTACCTCTGTGCAACTTCAAAGGTTTCTGATAAGAAATGTCATGGAATTTATGTTCGTTTTAACTCGGACTCATAGTGAATGGTAAACATACTGGTATACAGAGTGGTTGCATAGTGTATATCGCTGTTGTTGGGACAAAACCTCATATCTCCATTTTTGTCATTGTTTAGTTTTTGGTATAATTTGAAAATGTTGTTCTTTACATTGTATGTAAATTTCATGACGACCAAAAGAAACGGACCAAAATGACTTGGTAAAAAATCTGGTTCCATTGACTTACATTAAAATTGAAGTATGTTTTTTTCTTCTCCTGTAAAATTAGAATTTTGGAGATACAAGGTTTTCTTCTGACAGCAACAACATGTTATATAGTGGTATTGTGTCATAGTGCTCAGCCTCTCAGCTAAAACAGTCTGGGTTATTATGTTTTTCATTGATTTTCTAAGTGAAATGAAGTGAACACATCCTCTACAGAGAACACACTTAAGTCTGATGGCATTGTTCTGCACATTCTAGTGCAGAATTTCTATCTTTTCTATTATTATAGTTCAACATATTGGGAAAAAATAACAAAGCTGTGATGCGCATTCAAATGTGCAGTAATTTGTTCTCTGTAGAGGATGTGTTCACTTATTTTCACATAGGAAATCAACAAAACATAATTTGAGCAGGGGTGTGCAAACTTTTGCATACAACTGTACACATTAACACCTGACCCCAATTAGCTCTGAATTCAAAATACAGAATTAAGTTGATTTGTGTGCTCATAACTGTGTGTATATCAAGTTTTACAATGGCTTCAAACGTTCCCCAGCCAATCAGATTTTAGAACCAGACAAATATATTTTATGATTTTATAATTATAATTTGATGCATCTTGTTCTTTATTGGAGGCCAGCTAGTTAATGAATAAAGAAATTGCTAAAATTTGCACCCTAGTGGTGATGAAATCTTGAGGCAGACAACTTATCAAGGTATTATTGTAAATTGATAATTACAGTAGATTATTCATCATTTATAACGTTGTACCCCCAAAAATAAATATTAAATTTATTGCATAAAACATCTAAAAACACCCTTTACATTGAAAAGTTATTATATATAGCCAAAATGATTAATATGACAAGTGATTCCAAACTTTTGAACAGTAATGCGCTACCAGCAGTAGCCAAAGATCATCAAACCCGGTCAACTCTTACACTGTCTGTCACTGCAAAGCCGGCAGCCTCTATCATTCGCTGGTTTTCAGCCAATAGCATTACAGCAGGCTGAGATGCTCGAACACCATTGGCTGGTGAGATGAATGCTCACGTTTTACGGCAAATTTATTTATTTGACACAAATGTACAGATTGTGTGTCTGTCTGTCTTCCTGTCCATCTGTCCATCCGCAGCATCGTCCCTGGAGGACGCTGAGAGACACTTGAGGAGTAATGGCGCTCAACAGACTAACCACACTAAGGACATCTTACGAAAAACTGGACGGACGGAAAGACGGCAGCATGTGGGAGACGGACACACAGACCTTTGGCAGTGTGGGAACAACAACAACAGAAAATAGTCATAAACCAGTGGATCTTTTTTTTTATTTAAAAGAGGATAATTACTGTAAATGGAGTGAAACAGGTGTGGTTTATGGGGCAATGCAGGGAATAAAAGGATGCACAGCTGTCTGAATACAAACACTGAATTACATGTGAGTATGTGTGTTCTTTATAAGACTATTAAAGAGGTACGAGAACCTGCTCTTATCTCAGTTCCAGCGAACTCAGGCTTTGAAAGCAACTAGAGTGAAATGAGGACGCCTGCGTAAATGTTAATGGGGTGCTCCAAGGTTTTTCAACGTAATCTCCATCTGCCATATCTGTACTGGACCACCGATTCCCACAAACATTAATGTCAGCATGCTCCATGTTCTTTTATCTTATGGGCAGTTGCTGAATTCTGTGAGTAAATGTTAATAAACATAGCAGTGGCGAACCATGAATGTTAGAGCTAGACCTTCAGTTTAGGCCATAAATGTCCAAACATGATCACAAAATGAAAGAAAGCGGCTCTACAGTATTGCTAGTTTCTGCTAGCACCACTGTGAGAAAGTTAATAGTAAATTTTTGCTCATTTCTGTCTGTTAAAAGACATTCCGTATGTTTTATTTGAAGCTTGTAACAGACGTGTAGCGTGTTGCTGTTGTCAGAAGAAAACCTTGTGTCTCCAAGATGACAACTTTACAGGAGAAGGAAAAAACCTAGTTCACTTTTAATGTAAGTCAATGAAACCAGACTTTTTTCCAAGTCATTTTGGGCCGTTTCTTTTGGTCCGTTCAGCATGAAATGTACACACAATGTAAAGGACAGCAGGCGTTTTCAAATTATGTCAAACACTGAAAAACACCAAAAATAGAGATACAAGGTTTTCTTCTGACAGCATATATATATTTTACCTTTGTTTCAGTTTTTACAGTGAATAATTTAGTAAAGAGGCCTGATACAGAGCTGGAGCTGTTTACCATTTCCATCAACTTACCGAAACCTGCTTAGACTATGGCTCGTATTCACAGTCAGTGACTTATCTAGAACTTCCAGAAGGCCTGGAGTGACTGTTTTCTCACAAAATTGATCCCACCCACTGGAAATCAAAACGTGATTGGGTGGTCCCACTGTCACTTTTTAACTATGTTGGTAGTTTATCTAACATGTAAGCCTTTATTTTCGGCTCCTGAAGTCCTGACCAATGGGAGAGCTTGATTAGCTGTATCTGCCTTGATACCAGAGAGAAAAAAAACCCTGATTGGTTTTCATTTTAAGATTTTGACCCAAAGCTTAACAGTGAAATAAGAGTATTACTACAATTCCTGCAGTTCAAATAGGAAAAACATCATGACTCTGTTAAATGAAAATGGACTAAAAATTACAGACATGCTGTTATACAGTGAAGTAGATGAGATAGAAGAAAATGTCTTATGAAAGCTGTTGTGAAGATTTATCAAACATACGGAAACATATGGAGCTCGTACATCCCGTATAAATAAAAAAATAATGTGTGACCATGACTTAGTAAGGCATGGGAATGAGATAATTAAGCCTTGACCACAGATCTCGTTCCCACACCTCACTACATCGTGGCCATGACTTAATTATCTCATTCTCATGCCTTACTAAGTCCTTCCCATGCATTAATATGCCGTGGCCACACATTTATTTTCCTTTATACGGGAGGTCACCAGCAGGGCTCCATAGAAACAAGATGTGAAAAAGTAGTTCCGGTTACTTTCGCTTTACCTAAGGATTTCTAGAACCTAGATCTAGATCAGGCAGAGCCTTTGAAAACTCCACCCACACCATTCATTGTAACACATCATGCCACTTTCACCTCTATAAGAATGAATTATACAAACTTACAGCTTAACAGATATTTGACTGAAGAATTAATGAAAGTAATATATGTAGCATAAACATTTACTTACAGTGTTCAGCAACTGACAAATGGTTTCTATTATAAGTGAGTTTTGAGTCAGTAGGTTTTTCAGTACTAACAGAACATCTTATAGCTGAAGAGTCTTCAGGCTGTTTCAAAAGCTCTGCTGAAGGGACCCTTTTAATAAGGAATTTGCGTCAACAAGTGTTTAGGCCAGGACTAAAAAAGGACACTGGTTTTCCAGAGAAAGTTTAAGACTATGAGGAATCTTAGTTCATTAGACTCTAGGAGAGAACAGCTTTTTAGAGTCTGTACAGTGTTCACCAAACCAACTGGAACTGAGGTACTGCTTTATTATCAGCTTTTCCTCATAGCCCTGGAATAAAGATCTATATGGACAGAGAAGAGCAGCTGGTTCCAGGATTAAAACCTCATGGCCATTATTTCCAAAGCTGAACATGCCAAACTCCCCCTTTCCCCTCCTTCAGCAGGCAGGTCCTGATCCTGCTTTAGAGCAGAGTGGTTTGGAAGAACCCTGAAGGTGTTCCCTGTAAGCCCCTTTCACACCAACCCAACATTTCCCAATAAACACCTTCATCCTGACGTTGGCATTTAGCTTCACAATGTTCAGGGGAAGAACTGAAGCCAAAAGCCAAGGAGAACATTCTAGAACCGTGTGAATGGCAGGATGAAGGAGAAACGTTCTAGGATGGTCTAAATGAGGGAGAATATTGCCAAATGATTTGAATGGTAAAGAATATTCTAGATCTGTTCTAAATTGTGGCTAAGGGAGAACACTCTAAAATGGTGTGAACGGCAAGAACATTTGAGAACAATGTATATGAGGAAGAACAATCTAGAACAGTGCGAAAGGAGAGAACATTCTAGAACAGTGTCAATGAGGGGGAAACATATATAATGCTATGAATGAACAGTGTGAATAGTGTGAAAATGGGAAAACAATCTAGAACAGTATGAATGAGGGGAAAACATTCTAGAACAATGTAAAGAAGAAGGAACATTCTAGAACAGTTTGAATAAGGGAGAAACATTTTAGAACAATGTAAACAAGTAACAACATTCCAGAACAATGCAAATGAGGGAGAACATTCTTGATGAGGAAGAACATTCTAGGAACGTATGAAAGGGGACAACATTCTAGAGCAGTGAGAATGGGAAAGAGCATTCTAGAACAGAGAGAATGGGGAGAACATTCTTGAATGGTGAGTGAAGGAGAACATTCTAGAACAATGTAAAGAAGAAGGAACATTCTAGAACAGTTTGAATAAGGGAGAAACATTTTAGAACAATGTAAACAAGTAACAACATTCCAGAACAATGCAAAAGAGGGAGAACATTCTTGATGAGGAAGAACATTCTAGGAACGTATGAAAGGGGACAACATTCTAGAACAGTGAGAATGGGAAAGAGCATTCTAGAACAGAGAGAATGGGGAGAACATTCTTGAATGGTGAGTGAAGGAGAACATTCTAGAACAATGTAAAGAAGAAAGAGCATTCTAGAACAATGTCAGTGAGGGAGAAACATTCAAGAATGGTGTGAATGAGAGAGGATTCTAGAGTAGTGAGAACAGTAGGAATGGGGGAGAACATTCTGAATGATGTGAATAAGGGAGAACATGGGTTCATGAATGGGTGATAACATTTTAGAATGACCCAAATATTGTTTCTGAACAATCACGCAGGTTCAGCACGCCAGCAGGCCTTTGTTTGGTCAGTGTGGAAAGCATCTTGTTTGTGGTGGTGGCCTCACTCAGTATGCATGAAAACAATGCTGTTAAACATTTACTGGCTTTAATAAACTCTAACTTTAGTTAGATCCTGGCAGAGCGTCTTATCAGACAGGCTTCAGATGTAAACATTATTTAACCCCCTAAAATCTCAGGCTTATTACATACTAAGGCTTATTATTCAGTAAGCTGAGCTGTTCTTAGGTTACAGAAGTGTGTAATAAAACATTTTTCATATATTGATGGTGCCTTCATAGATGTGCACATCACCCATGCCATGTGCACTAACATACCATCATGAATACTGGCTTTTGAACTGTGCTCTGATAACAAGCTGAGTGTTCTTTAGCCTGAAGGACACAGTGTCCATGATTTCCCAAAAGAATTTAAAATGTTGATTCATCAGAGCACAGGACACTTTTCCACTTCCACTCAGTCCATTTTAAATGAGCTTGGGCCCAGAGAAGGTGGCAGCGTTTCTGGATCCTTTCCTCTTTGCGTTTTAGAGTTTTAACTTGCATTTGTGGATGCAGTGACAAACTGTTTTCACAAACAGTGGTTTTCAGAAGTGTTTCTGAGCCCATGCAGTGATTTCCTCTACAGAACCATGTCTGGTTTTAATGCAGTGCCGCCTGAGGGCCCGAAGATCACAGCCAGGAAATACTGGTTTTTGGCCTTGTCCAGATTCTTCACAGAGTGGTGAACCCCTCCTCATCTTTACTTCTGAAAGACTCTCTGGGATGATTTTTTATACCAAATCATGTTAGTGACCTGTTGCCAATCAACCACCAAGTGTTTTTTTTAGCATTACACAACTTTACCAGCCTTTTGTTGCCCCCACCCAACTTTTTTGGAAAGTGTTGTTGGCATCAAGTTCAAAATGGGCATATATTTTTCAAAAAACAATAAAATTTCTCAGTTTCAACATTTGATATGTTGTCTTTGTGCTATTTTCAATTAAATATAGAGTTTAAATGATTTGCACAACATTGCATTTTGTTTTTATTTACATTTTGCACAGCGTCACAACTTTTTTGGAAGTGGGGTTGTAAATACATCTGCATTTATATATAATTATTTTTTATCCATTGCAATTTATACCTTATATATAGTTATCAAAGATTTCAATTCCCTATTTCACTTAAAACTGTGCTGGTCTGGTTGCACCATTTGACTTACTGATCTTGGCATTGCACCATGAAGATCTCTTGGGGTCTGATTTATGATGCAATACCATGACCTCTGTTTTATAAAAACATGTCAAAATAAAAGTCCTTTGTATTTGGTTGTGCTGCCTGAGATTTGAGGAAGTAACGACTTGCGTACAAAAGTTTTTCACAGAGTTGAGCTCACATGTTTAGCACCATGCCAAACTAATTTTAGTTAGAATTTTATATAACAAAATTACCTCTTTTAAACATATATTGTTGGACAGTTGCACCACCTTACATTTTTAGACTTTTGGAGACAAAAAGAAACTAAAATAAAATTTAAGGATTGCTATGACACAGATGTGGCAACCCTATTTC